GTGTATTCATTGAGATCTGCATGTGGGCACCTAAAATAATTAAGTTTTAAACTGAGTTAGATACAAATGAAATTTAACTGTACATTCGTTTAAATATCAATACTTGTTTATATACGCCAAATAGCAAGTTTTGTGCGTTTCATAAACTCTTGAATGTACACAGGTAAAAAGGAATAAAGCTGGTTTACAACTTAGATGCCACTCTAGTCTGTAAGATAATTACAAAGAGTAATAAATCAATTACATGAAAAAATTTCATAGCTCTACGAAAATATATATTTTAGGTATTACAATATTCTGTTCTTTTTATATAGATTCGTACGCGTAGAAATAATTTCTGATTTAATCCCGCTATTATTATTAAACTTCATGTCGATAAATCATTAAAACAAAGGCTAAGTCGTAGAGTACATGCTTTTTGCAGAACGAAATTCCAACGCTTGATGAAATTTTGACAAGCCTTGAATAAGACACGGACTATCAGAAAATCTTTAGAATGAAATTATGGAAATTTTTGAACGAACGAAATGGGTTTAAAGTATAAAAAATATAATAGAAAATCTCTCTTAATGGGTAAACAGTAAATGATTTTTAGAAGAAACTATTTATGACAGATTAAAGTATAGACCACGAATAAAAAAGGAAGTTTTGTGGAAGGTAGATTCCTAACTTTTATTTCAAAACATATGGCTACCTATTAAACATGAGGATGTTGTTGAGGAATGGTTTGTTAAGATGGAAGATCTGATTCCAAAAGGAGCAATGATTGGTACTGACAGTGCAAGTTATCACCCTAGGTTACAAAAAGCGTTGCCAACAAGTAGTTGGTGTAAAGCAGACACTTGTGGTGGCTTATTACCAAAAATAGAAAGATACCAAAAGATTTTCTAAGCAAAGAGCTATACACTACTACTGAGAGATATAAGCATACACTAAACACAGTTTTACATGAAACAGCAGCTTCGCATGTTATATACTTTAACTACCCGTTACCATTATAAACTTTATTTGGACTCAAGTAAAAGAGAAAATGGACAACTCTGTTAAAAAACCATAAGTTAATAGAGTAAGGACAATTGAAAGAACTGCATTAAGTATGTTATGAAAGAAGTAAATGAACCTGTTATTTATTAATCAAACAAGTATTTTATTTCTAAATTCGATCCAGATTAAAATACGGTAAATGTAATACTATTACATTTAGACTTACATTTAGGTAAATGTAATACTATTACATTACATGTAAAGTCTTATGTGAATTTTGTAAAAAAAAACAGTAAAAGCTGTAGTTGAATGTTTAAACTGTGAAAACTTGTACCATAACGGTTGTGTAACTGTTATCAAAAAAGTGTTGTAATAATCAAAATCTAAAAAGTGGAAAACAAGTTATTAATGAAGAAACTAATGGGTACCCAGATGCCATTAATTTCGATACTAGAGACAATGAAATCCAATCATTGAGGGATTTGGTTGTGGAGATAAAAAGCAAAAATCAAGTACTCGATGAGAATTCATACTTTTGAAAGAAAAATCACAAGATATGTGTAACATATGTTCACCAAACAAGGTGGTACCCGAGCAAGCCTAACGATTTGAGTAGTTTAACTGCTAGTAAGTAAGTAAATAACACATAATCATGGCACATCAAAATCCCAACACCGATTGTTCAGACGTCCCCCATGAAACATGTAAAAAATAAACAAAAATGGACACTCGAAAGAATGTAATGAGAATCTTAGTACAAATATTATTCAAATACAGCAAGTTAGAGCTGCAGTTTATTAAGGTATCCTTACATATAAACAGATTGACACCAGACATTCTTATTAAAAGATGTAGAATCACTGATAAAAGAAACTTTTCCAGAAGCAAAATATGAAAACCATAAATCAAAACATCCAGTTGATTATACATCCTTTAAGATCACTATTGACCAATCAAATTTGAGCAGGGATTGGCAAAGGGACATCTGGCCCAGTGCATCATCGATTTTTAATTTTTTTTTTCCAGCAAAAGGATGCCACCACCGACGAATGAAACTGTAAATCCTTCAAATTGAGAAATCAGGAACGTATTGCGTTATGTATAAGTGAACATTAGAAATCGAAAGTAAAACTTGAGAACTACAATTTTGCACATTAGGATGGAATCTGCTATCTGGAGGAGTAAAGAAGAGCATGGGGAGGAGCTATTTATATTAAACATGGAGTAGTGAGAAAAAATATGACTTTTTTAATGAAAATTTTGTGATCGACCCTGGAAATTTTTTGAATATTTATTGATGATTTATTATTCTATGTAATTTTTTATAGACTTTAAATCGTTTAAGATCTTCCGTTACACACTTTAACTATATATTCAGTTACTTTCCATTCAGAACAATGCTATTTTCTTCTGAGAGTATATGGCTGTTATAATTTTGTTAAAGAATGTTTCTAAAATTCAACAGGTTTCTTATCATCATAGAACAGTGTCAAAGGGAGTCTGTGTACATTTAAATAATTACACTGCAAAAATCATTGATGTTAGGTGCTTCAGAAGTCTATTTTCAAAAGAACATTATAAATCGTATCTGATTGTTCCAAAAAAATATAATCAGTCTCTGATAAGTTAGTAATAATTTGTTGCTATTGGGGGTTCAAATTATAACACTTCAAATCATAAAAACAAACTTACAATGTATTTTGCCACATTCTCCGATAACAACCTTTGGGTATGTTTTTATACGTTCAAAGCAACAATTAAGGGCATAGAAAACATTTTCTACAAAAGATACAAATATACCCTATGAGTATTATCCAACCTATACCTTTTCTCTCAACTTGAACATCATTATTAGGATAGCTCATAAATACAGTAAAACCCCGATTATTCGTGCTCCACAGGACCGGACGTGTCATGGATAATCCGGAAATTTCTCATATATGTACATACATACACACATATGTACGACCATAAAAATATAACAGAAAAATACATCTCATAAGTTCAAATTAACTTTTAAATTTCATAAAGAGAACACATTTTTACACACATAAACTTTCAACATTAAACAAAAAATAAAAACTACCTGGGTATGTAGGACATTTACATAAAGCGGTTATATATTTTTATGCATAGCGCATTACGCATAGCGGTACCTATGCTCTTGAAAAAATAAGTCACTTTCCTGTATCATTTTTTTAATCTTCTGATGTGTTCTGCTCTCAATCCGTAACGGATAGAGATGTTTCATGAGGGAGGGCAGAGCACGAATTGGACTGTAGGATGGACAAGAGTTTTCTGAGCAAGTTCAAAATGTCGACAAGGTTGGAAGATTCCCGTTGCTCAAAATAGTCTAATAGAACTTTTTCAGCTTCCTCGGCCTCATGTTAATTACTCATTTGATTGCTACTGTCCCATCATTTCCTTCGTCTTGACTCTCATTTTCGGATGAACCAGGTTGTGACGTACTGAGCTAATTCAAAACTAGTTCGAGAATATCGTCGTTGCTAAGGACCTGGCTCATCTTTGTCATACTGTGTCCACGTCTCAACCTTGGTTTCATCAATTTCTTCAAACTCATCGGCGTTGCGCACTAATGCAGTTAGTTCAGCTATGGTAAATTCTTTATCATCATAGTCCATAATGCTTATCTAGCATCACTATTTTGTAAAAGGTTCGTTTGAAAGTCTTCTCTTTCACTCCACTTCATGAATTTCAGCCTCAATAACATCCTGGTCCATTGGTTGAGTAATTAGCGTTGACTGAAAAAAAAAACAAAGAAATTTCCATCGCCAGGGCTGCCTCATTGGAATGAGCACCATCATTACCCAGAAGAAGTATCTTTTGTGGCAACTTTTCCTTTTTCAAACAATAATTTACTTCAGGAATGAACTTATAGAACCAATCTTGGAAGATGTCACAAGTTTTCCAGGCAGCTTGCTGGTTATAATAGTGAACTGAGAGATTCTGCGGTTCCATGTTCTTAAAATTGCGAAGGTTTTTTGACTTTCCAATCACAATCAGCTTCATTCTATTGCTGCTAGATGCATTGGTACAACACAACACTTATCCGGCCTTTACTTTTTTATATCGCGATGCACCCATCTGATTACTTGCAGTTAAGATTTTTGTAGATATTGCTCGCCAGTATAACCCTGTTTCGTTAGCGTTGTAGACGCTGTAGAGGGTTGTAGGTTATTTTCTGTAATTATTGTCTCCAGTTTATAACAAACTTCCATCATTGCTTCTCCGTCGGAACTGATCTTTTCTCACGAATCTAGAATCTCACGTTGTTTTTTGAATCGTAGTAATCCACCGCTGGATACATTGAAAGGTTCCTTGATTTTTAAGGGTTCCTGAAAAATCTCCGTTTGTTTACAAAATGCTTCATCGGGTTGTTGAAAAGTCGATTCTTTCAATGAGTTTCGTGTAGATCTGTTTTAAAAGATTCTGGTTGAGAATTTTGCAGTTTTACTTAGTTTTTATTGATAACGTCTCTTATTTTCTTGCCAGCTTCATAGATTCGTAATAATGATGACTGGACACTTTCACCCTGTTCCAATTCAGTTAAATTCCGTTTAAAATCTCTGGTTTTTGTTCAATAGTTAAAACATTTGTTTAGTTTCACTGGTTGTTGCCATTTTGAAAACAAAGACACATGTTAAGAATATATCAGAGTTGCAATTCTTCTCTAAAGGGCAGCTAAATCCCTCATATTCGGCGTAACACTCAGCGACAGATGATAAGCGAATAATTTACAGGATTCCCCGAGTATTGGCGGTATCCATATTGCATTATGCGTCTCCCTCACGGTGTATAGAAAGTTACTGTCGAGTACGGTGACGTTATTTCGATAAAACCTCAAAAATGCAATTTGAATAGTGGGGAACATATCACAGCACGGTTAATCTGGGTTCAACTGTAATATGAAAATAAAGTATTTTTGTATGAACAAATGGTTTTGGAAACATTAGAAAAATATGAGTTTTTAAACCCATTTAAGTTTGGAAAAGATAAGATAAATTTAATGTGCATAAAAAGAACTATATGCCTTAAAAAAGCTGAGCCTGTAGATTGCAAAACTAACAGAATCGGTGTTGTGTGTTGCTGCCTAACAAATTTTCTTTCAGCGGATTAATGTATTAGTTTCTCCAATATCGGAGATGACATAATCTGTATGATATTATATTAAATTATTGTAAAGTTAAGACAATTGTATGATAATAATATACAAGTCTTTTGATATAGATACAACAGACCCCCTTTCATAAAATCGAGTCAGTCTTAATCAACTTTATGTTGTGTTAAACACAGCCTGGTGAACATAAATACGTTTCTCGTTTATCTAAATCTCACTGCAGCATCAAAATCTCTAAATTCCTATGTAAGATAGCGTCTTTGACTGAATTAAAGACAACTTTGATGTTCTCTGTGTCCACTGCGGTAGTAAAGTGGTGATAGAGGAGTTTCTTCGGGTCCTTTTTGATGCCGGTGAACATGGTAAGGATGAAATCCTGAACGTCCTGCATTGAATGTGAGTTTCCCTTAAACTGGGGAAAATACCAGCGAATGTCTGTTTCTGGATTGGCTACCTAAAAAATAATATACATATATAATTATAAATAAATTATTTTTTAAAGGGATTTCATCTAGAGGCTAAAATTTGAATCAAGATATTTGTCTAATTATATACTATTATTACCATAAGATACTGTAAAATTTAGATACCACATGAAAACAGTATTTAAAAAAACCCAGGGAAAGTGACTCGTCCAACATAGGCAATCAGGAATATTATAGTGTTTTCGCAATCGCCACGTAACAATAAGATTGTAGCAGGTAGTGTCAGGTAACTATACTATTATTTTGCAGGTTATTGCAAAGTATTTAGTATTTATTTACATATTTTGCTTTAATATTTTTATTACTGCATTATTATATGATCTTATTTACTTTAAAAGGTTACAGTATATTGTACTCTACGCAGTAAATCCTCATTTTCAAACTGGCTAAGACATGGTAATCTGATTTTAAGTTAAAAGAAATACACTTGTTGTTAATTGCCTCGAAAGCAAACAAAAATGTTTAGAATATCAAATTTCTGCGGAATTGCATACGCAATTCGGTATCAAGGCTGGGCGACTGTTTTAAAACTGATTAATTAGGGTACGCTTCTTGTAGCTGTAGTTGAGTATGGCCACCCTTGAGAATCTTTAGTTACGGATTTTTATCCCCTACACACACTGACAAACACAGATCGAAACGAGACATCGGACAGTCAGCATCTCCAGTTTATCGCAGACGCTGACGTAGATTTTCTACCCACAAAGGTGCTGAGCCACTATTTTTCTACCCTAGCTACAATTAATACACCATATTCAAACGGTAAGAGCTTTTCTTTGAACATATAACATTAATGAGTTACGCCAGGTATTTTCATAATTTTAAATTAAATATTAAATTCAGAGACCTCAATAAGTTTTACAAAAACAGTGGCTATTATACTTATTGCATTAAAATTAAACTTAAATTGGACAAATCCTTAAGATTTTAAAAATCTATAACCTGTGGTCAAATCGTTAGTTATTATTAACTAAGTATACAGGCATTTCCAGTTAGTATTTTGATTAGCTAGAATTCATTAATTGTTAAGAGTTAGTTTTATATCATAATAAAAAGTACTTAGTTCTGATTATATATAAAAAATGCAGTGTGGTTAAAAGTTTATAGTTAGATAAATTCAATGAGGTGGCATTTGGCCTATTTAACAGCAACCTTTTCAGATATATTGCTGTCCCCTAATCCTAGATCACATTCTCTAACCTGAGCCTTTTCTTCGCCTAATCTAAAGAAACGCACATGTGCTAGGCTGTGGCATTATATGATCTGCTGTTTCTTCCTCTACGTGACAAAATCTGCAAAGATCATTATATGCCAATCCTATGAGCTTCAACTGCCTATTCAGCTTTCAGTGCCCTGTTAACAGACCTACTATGGCTTTTACTGTTTCGCCTGTTTTTGTCCTGATGAATTCCTCCACCATTCCACAGATTAGCGTGCTAGCTACTTTCTTGTAGCTGTTCTTGTTACTGTCTTGGCAACGCCGCAGAAGGATTCGGGTCCAATGAATGGCATATATGAGACTTGTTTGGCCATTTCATCTGCGTTTTCATTGCCCTTATGATCCTCATGCCATGGTAACAAGACTACCCTCTTCTAGTTTATTTTGGGCACCGACACTATCCCATACTAGCTTAGAATTGACCTCTACAGAATTGAGTGCATTAAGCGCTGCCTGGCTATAGGTGAAGATGGCAATTGAACAGTGAATTCTTTTCTGACTTTCTATTTCTTCCACACAGTGATGGATTGCCGCTATTTCCACCTGGAAAATTGTGACATCCTTAGATCGACTTATCGAGAAATGTAATCCTTGCTTTGTTCCTACTATACCGGCATCACACCCTCAGATGTTTTTGCGCCATCAGTGTACCAGGTAGCTTCTGCTTGTATGGGTACACCTTCCTTCGTGGTCTTCCCTGCCTGGCACCCTTCGCGTCATAAAAAACTGGTACCGTTCCCGTCATAAAAAACTGGTACAACTCTTATAATCAAAAGTGTTTTTTAAGTTGTGTACGTTGATCTTATCATATGTGTCATTCTGATTTCTAGGACACCGTTGCCAGTTCAACGAAAATATTACATAAAACCAGCTAAAAGTAAGGCTGTGTGACAGACCGCCAGTTTTGAGTATACTAAAAACTAAAACATTATCGAGTATTCTCGATCAGTCAGTCACATTAAATTTGTTTAAACAGGCATCCTAAAAAATTCTCATATTAATTTTGTAATTTTTCATCGTCTCAATTAAGTGCCCATACATCGATTTGTGTTTCATAAAAATTTATGAAAATATTTCAATTCAGAAATAATGACAGATAATCAATATTGACAAACTTCAAATTATTATAATAAAACATTACGATGAGATATGGTATTGTAACTGTTATGTTTTGAAAAGCGTTTTTTCGCACCGAATATTTTCTGGTATATAATACGTAGGATAAAGTATAATGTTAGTTTTTTACATTTTTTATCGTTTTAGTAATAAATAATAAATTATTCTTGGTAGTTTGCCTGTTACAAAACTTATTGAGACAGAATACAGTTCAAATTCGGTAGGTAATTGAAGTATAAAATTACAGTAGATGCATTCCAATGTTCCCTGTGCCAATACCCTAGGTTTAAAGATCCTTCAAACATTTTGGATAATAACTCAACCCTATTTCTGCTTATTTAATTTCTTAGATTAAGTTTTTTTTTGGTAACGATAAAAATATTACCTATCTAAAAAGTTTATACATTCTTGATCGTTATTTTTTTATTTAGATTTAGTGCAATTCCGTTATCTGTAGTGGCAACAACGAATTGACTTCTGAACACAGGTTTACATTGGGAAAAAAAAGTGTACCAGTTTTATATGACGGGAAGTGTACAACTCTTATAACCGAAAATCGTGTTTTTTAAGTTGTGTAAGTTGATCTTGTCATATATGTCATTCTAATTTCTATGGCAATGTTGGCAGTTCATCAAAATATTATATCAAATCAGCTAAAAGGAGGGCTGTGCGCATCGAGCAAAAAGACAAAAGAGGGAATGTAAAGGTAGTGGGGGCAAAATATTGTTAGACAGGAAGTGCGATCTTTAGAGGCCACATTAAACAAGGAAAGAGAGTCTCTCTCCTTGTTTGACATAAAATTTAGTTGGGTTATGTTATTGTTTGTCCCAAATGTCACATGAAATCTTATTTATATTGAAGTTTTTTAAGAATTGTGTCGCATTTTAGACTATTGCCGTTAATAATTAATTAAAACTTTCTCGTCTAAGACACATTCTGAAAACTATTTTATAACTACTGTTAATAAGTGTCGGAAAATTTAAATTTGGCGCATTCGCATTTCCAGATATGTCCGCCATCAGAGGCCACTTTGGTCTCCTTTTCATAAGGATTAGATTCCCTCTTTTGCCTTTTTGCTCGATGGCTGTGCGACAGACACATTATAAAATTACAGTAGATGCATTCCAATGTTCCCTGTGCCAATACGCTACGTTTAAGATGCCTTAAACATTTTGGGCATTCACGCAACCCTCTCTTTGATTATTAAATTTATTAGATACGGTTTTTGTTGTTAATTATAATAATTATACCTATATAAAAACTTTAAACATTTTTGAACGTTTTTTTTATTTAGATTTAGTGCAATTCCGTTATCTGTGATGGCAACAACGAATTGATTCACGAATCAAGTCTGAACACAGGTTTCTATTGGGAAAAAAAAGTGTACCAGTTTTATACGACGGGAACTATACATTAATTTTGAATTTATTGTTTTCCGATATAAAATATTTATCCTACATAAAAAAACGGTTTAAGAATATTTTATTAAATTAAAATAGTTGTTATCAAATTCTATTAGGACGATTAAAAACTAGAGCACAAATTATGCATTTTTTCATTTTTTTTTTCGAGCGCTCTATTTTGGAACTGTGTTGGATTTTTTGAAGAGTGCCGCTGGCAGTTGGGTCGGTTACCCTTACTTCTTTTTATCTAGTCGGAACGCAAAACACTGTTTATTTACAACACTCCTATTTACATAGTTTTTAAAAGGTTTTGTTAAAAACTTTAACTTTTCTTATAAAAGATTGATATATTTCACAGCCCTTAATGTTGTTAATTAAACTAACAATGATTTTTTTAAAAATAGTGGCTATTTTGGCTTCTAAGGACCCTTAATTTTTTTTGTTATAAAACTTGTGTTTTTTAACCAGCTTTTCAAATATTTTTTAGCCATTTAATTTAAATTAAATTCTGTGGAGTTATTGTAAATATTTATAAGCTTAAAAATGCTATTTATTATTACATCATTTTGTGTACATACTTATATGTAATTTTTTAAACTTTTTTCCACATGTTATAGTAGTAGAAGAAGAAAATAAGCCCGATATTATTGAGATTCATTTAGTCAAATTAGACTTAGACCAGTCTAAGAAAGTAGCTCATTTTTCGAAAAATCATATATCATATATATATATATATATATATATATATATATATATATATATATATATATATAAACAAATTACATTTCGCAAAACTCTTTAACCGATATGCCCCATCTTTTGCATATATTCAAACACGATAAGATTCTAAAGTACAGTTACATTTAAACAAACTTAAATAAATAATAAAAAAAAACGTATTAACAATATTCAAAAACAGCTATTTTGTTGTTCATTTTGCAATAACTTTTTTGTTTTTTTTTTACCAAAAAACTTATCTGTTGACGTCAAACCTCTAAATAGAAAAGTTTTTAAGTTACGAGCAAAATAATGAGTTTGGCGTTTTGAATGATTATTTAAAAATATTTCCATAAAAGAATTGATAGGTCCCTAAGATGAGAATCTTTTTGTATTATCTCTAATCAGCGAAACTTTTTATCGATAATGACATTTTTGGCAAAATATAAAAGTACCTCATCTTGGGTACACCATCCGTGGACACACTGTATAATATATAAAATAGAAAAATTAG